ATGGCAAAACTATGGAGACAGTAGAAAGATCTGTGGTTGCCAGGAAGTTGGGAGGGGGAGGAGGATGATTAGATGGAGTACAAAGTATTTTTATGACAGTGAAAAATACATTCTATGATAACAAAGATGGACACATGTTATTACACATTAGTCAAATCCATAGAATATACACAAACTATGGATTCTAACTCTAACTATGGACTTCAGATGATTATGCTGTATCAATGTAGGTCACTAATTGTGACAATTTACCAACCTTGTAGGGGTTATCAATTATAGGGGACACTATGCATATGTGCGATCCAGCAGTATATGAGACATATCTGTATCTTCCCTTGAGTTTTTCTGTGAGCATTAAACTGTTCTAAAGTAATAAAGTCTTAAAAAAAATTATGCCATCTGTTTGGCCCACGTGTTCTCCAAAATAATGAAATTTTAATTTCCACATTTCAAGTGCTTAATATCAGAATCCTATTAAAAATACAGTATTTTTCTTCTTCTCTTTTTTGGGTCCCTTTTGAAGAAGAAACTGTCTGATCACGTAAACATTGCCCACAAACTTGCATCAACTATCAAGCTTAAAAGTGACATTTCAAGGTAATCTGTTCAGTGAAGAGTGGGCTACTCTCTATATATCTAAATATGATATCACTGAATATATTTTGCCCCCTCCCCAACCTTAGGCAGCAACCTGACTGTAAATGAGATCTGTGAAGATGGGTCTGATTAAGTATTCACTTATTACCAAGCTGTTGACAATTGATTATAAGTCAGGTTTTATTGAACAGCGCATCAAATATGTAAGCAGGTAATGGGGCTGATGAAAACACAATAAACTTGACTTCCATCAACCTAATTTAGTTTCATAAAAAAAAATTAATAGGTAATTTTTATATAATATTGCCCTAGAATTTTAGCATTCTCATAATCCACAAAATCATTCCTCAAATTTAACTCGGCATTCATATGAACACAAAAAGCACTCTTGAACAAAACATGGTCTTTACTGAGGAAGTAATATAATGCATGAAAAACAACCCACAGACTGTTTTGTCACTCTTTAGATCTGTTTCTAGCCAGTCAAGCAAGGCAGTCAGGTGGCAAACTGCGAGTTTCTCTACAGAGAGCCACCCCTGCATCATCTACAAGTCTAAACGGGGGCTGGCCTATGTTTACAAACTCTTTTAGCAGCACAGTATGGTCTAGATAGGAGTTTTTGAACATTCTGCCTCTTTTTAGATTTTTTTTTGGTAATATACTCATATTATATTCCCTTCACCATGCCCTATGGCCACAACACATGGGCTCCATTCTGTTTTATTTAAATTTGCCCCTATTTGGGGATATTTCTTCCTTTAGGGCAATTATTTCCAATGGGGTAATCCCCTTCCAAGAATCCATGGCAATATATAGAGACACTAAGTTGTCACAATTGGGAAAGGAGAAGGGAAGAGGTCCTAGTGGATTAAGGCCAGGGTTGCCTGCCCCCAAGAAAGAATTAGTCAAGCGAAAATATCTATAGTACAGAGGTTAAGAACTTTCTGCCTTATATATTTGCGTGTGAGTGTGTGTGTGTGTGTGTGTGTTTAATCTCCTATATAATAAATATATATATATAATTTCACATATATATAATCTCCTATATTATATATATACAACTCCTATATAATAAATATATATAATCTCCTTTATAATAAATATATATATAATTTTACACACATATATATAATCTCCTTTATAATAAATATATATATAATTTTACACACATATATATATAATCTCATATATATATAATCTCCTATATAATAAAAACCTAATATGCTAAATGTCCAGTCATCTGGTCAACTATTCAACCAATAGAAGCATAATATGCTAATGATATGCTAAGGCTGCTCAACCAATTGCTATGACATGCACTGACCATCAGTGAGCAGATGCTCCAATCAGTAATAGCTTGCTCCTGGGATGCAGCTGATTGGGACTGAGATACGTCTGACATCCCTAGAGCCCTCCCGTGGATCCTCTCTGGCTGGCCAACTTCCCGCATCCCTTCCAGCCCTGATTGTGCATCTGTGGGGTCTTTCAGCATGGCCTGTGCTCTCTCACAATTCAGGAACCCTCAGGGGATGTTGGAGAGCCAGTTTTTCCCCGATCCCATTCAACACAGGAGCTGGCCCCTGGTGGTCAGTGCACTCACAGAGGGGGGGAGCACCGCTCTCAGCCAGAAGCCAGGCTCTCAGCCAGAAGCCTGGCTCTCAGCCAGAAGCCTCTCTGCCTCTGTGGTAGTGCTAAGGATGTCCTACTGAAGGCCCACCCATCCCCCAAGGGCTCCTGAATTGGTATATATATACTGTGGTCTTCCTCAAACTTTATGTGTCTAGTACAGTGGTCAGCAAAACGCTGCTTGCTAGCCACATGCAGCTCTTTGGCTCCTTGAGTGTAGCTCTTGCACAAAATACCACGTGTGGGCGCACATGTACAGTGCAATTGAAACTTCGTGGCTCATGTGCAGAAGTCCGTTTTCATCCTGGGAGAGTATGAAGAAGTGGCGTTAGAACACTCAAGGGGCCAAAGAGCTGCATGTGGCTCTTGAGCCGTGGCTTGCTGACCACCGGTCTAGTACATATTTCAACAATTCTTATGAGCAACCAATGAGTTCACAGCTAGTATTTTTGCTTTCATTTCTTTAACAAATTCTGCAGTTACACATAAAGAACTAATTCTGTTCCTGTTTAAGAAAAATTGGTGACAGTAGCAAAATAATTCATATATCTGGAATATTCTAGTTCTTAGCCCAATAACATCCACTTTTTCTTCACATAAGAGTGTATTATATTTCCTACTACATATAACTATCTTGCTCTTCTCATCTGTTCAATTAAGAACTAAATGCGGACATCAGAATCAGGAAGGTGCCTTCAGTTAAGTCTCCAGAGTATTCAATCACTATGAGAGGGCTAGCATGAGAATGTTAAAAGCTCTGAAAATTAACAAATAAGAGCAAAATCTTGATTAGCAACAACAACCCAGAACAAACTGCTCTGTTTCACTTATTTTCTTTTTCAGTTAAAAAAAATCAACCAGAAAATTATATACATTTCAAGACATTGGTGAAAATTATGTTAAAATATCTCAATCAACTAAGCACATTGTCCTTGCTTTTAAGTAAATTTTGACTCAATGGGCACTATTCTTTCTGTTCATTAAAGCATCCCAAAATAGAGTAAGAAAAAAAATAACTATCTCCTGAAAAATGCCTAAAATCTTTGTGTGCATAAAAAAAATTGCATGTAAATTCTGGATCTTTCATCTGCTAGAATTATCATTCCCACCACTCACGAGCAGGCATGAGCTGAGTCCTCCCTGTCTCTGACAGTCTTTTCCTAGTGTCACACCCAAAGGAACGCTGCCATGTTTCAGCAATGCCATGTGAAGCTGAGACTTTATAACAAATAGAGCAAATGGGCCAGAAACTGAGAGCCACAGGAATGTGAGAGGGATCCTCTAACAGGTAAAAGAAAAGTCCTTAAATTGGAAAGCTATATACCTATTTCTTAAATCTTTCAAGTGAAGAAAGAAATACTATTATGGCTTGCTGTGTTGCTCTACTGAATGTAAAGGGCAAGCCTAATTGAAAGAAAACGGTGCTGAATTTCAGCTAGTTAAGATGCAAGTAGATTTTATCCTTATTGTTATCATTATTATTTCTAAGTCTAAATCTGTGAGGATTCTCAAGAGCAACAATCTCTGGATATCTTTTTTTGTGTGACATTACATACACTATATCGATTCTGCTTATGTTTCTAAGAGTTCATCTCTTTTTTTCTTGGTATTCCAGAATAATAAATATCTACAGAAAACTTTGTAAATAACGTTTGCCCTGTAGAAAGAAGCATATTTGTAATACACAGAACTTGGAACAATGCTATAGCTGACCTTTTAGAGACACATCTATTTTCGAAAAGCCCCATTATTCCAAAGTCCATGTACAAACTGTAGAATCCCCTTCACCTTGGGGTTTGAGAGGTCATTCCATACAGGCATGGGACCCAAGCCATTACCTAATCATAACCCCACGTGATACAGATTTATGTTCTCTTTGTGTTCTCTCCTTTCTTGAATTTCTCATTCCCCCTATACATACAAATTCATAAGGCATGAAGAACTTTAGAAATGAACTAAAGCCAAGAGTCACTAGATAAGGACATCAACTACTAAAAATAGGCCAGTTTTTGACACAACTATTCAAAGTGAGGGGTTATTCTACGAACCCAGTGGAAGTTAAGTTGTTGTCCATCCTAATGCACCAGAGAGCTATGCCAGGCTCGTATAAGTGACTGTGTCTTAGCACAACACTGATTCCCAGGTGGAGGGCATGTAAGGCTTTCCTAGAAAGGCAGGACACTTATTGAATGCTTAACCCTTTGTCAGAAGCCACTCTCTCTTTTCTTAAAGTGCTTCATTGCCAGGAACTACCTACAGCTTTCATGCTTCCTTCCCACTATGGTTGTCCATAGTCCTTCCTCAAGGTCCTACCTTCTCAAGAAACAGACTAATAAATAGTTTTCAACTTTGAGAGTCCAAGTTCCAATCATATTGCCACTACCTTGTAGCCTTGTAAAACTTTTTCTTCTCTTAACTGATTCAAACTTCCACGTTTGCATATGTAATTGGAAATAAGTTTTTATTATCTGCCTACTGCATTTGTAATTGGAAATAAATTTTTATTATCTGCCTACTTCATAAGATCCTTGCAAGAATCAAATGAGATTATATATGAAAAGTACAAAGTCACATATGCATGCAAAGCAAAAAGAAATCATTATTCTGCTATAGTTGTACAAATTTCAACTCAAGAAACAAAGACAGCAAGCACCCCTTCCATGATCATGCATAATATAGATGTATAAAGGCCTAAAGAACACAATGAAACAGATTTATTCAAATACGGACATTAATCACTCATTGACATTTTGGTCGAATCTATTTTCCATGTTTACCTGTCTCAGAGAGCAATTTTGTAGCTTCCAGCACCTTTTCAGTGTAAACACCAGCTTCATAGTTCTCCATTTCAGCATTGATGATGTGTATGACCCGAGCTGCCCGGCCCCTGATGGCCCCCGCAGTCCGGTCCAGAGTGTCCACATCCCCCTCTTGGAGGGCTATCACACATTTGTTCACGTCCTCCAAGATGTGATTTTCTGGTGGGGGAGGAGAGGGAAACATATACACGTTTATATGATCCTACATCACTCAAACCTTTAATAAGCAATCCAAGATTCATCAATTATCACGAACCATCATCTTGCATATCAATATAGGCCTGATGACACAAAAATGATATTTAAAGGACAGAGTATATCATTGCAATAGTGAGCCTCGAACTTGAGCAGCAGCCTGGGGACTTACAGAATGATACAGACTGTTAGGAGTCATTCCCAGGGCTTTTTTATTCAGTCCATCAAGTTCTCAGGTGATATTAATGTTTCTGGTTTAGGGACCACACTTTGAGGAGCATTAACTTAAAGAATATCCCTTTCTTTGTTTCAATGTTTGAGATCTATTACATAAAAAGGTCTTTTAGAAGTGGTTGTGCAGCTAATACAAAGTTGGCTGGCCAAGCAGGAATATTTCTGGACGTGACTGGCTTTGGGCTCATGCTTGTTGGATCATGTTTTTACTAAGGAGCTTTGAGGGAAAACTATAGAATGAACAAGCATCACCCAGTGAGTCTTCTAATGTCATGTCATGCACAAGGTATGTGCAATGGGGGAACTGATCAGGTGAAGATGGCCACAGAGATCTTCACAATTACAATACAATCTAGTCTTGTGGCTGATTCCCTCAGGTTAGCAACAAGATCAGTGATCACTTTGTGGCTATTGCTCCAAACAGAATCAGCAGGCAGAGTAGGAGGCTTCATGTTCCACTAGCACAAAGAAAACACACTTATCATTTTGCAAATGTGTAGTTTTGTATTTCCCATCCAATGTGAGGTTTGTAATCATGTCCCTTGTGTATTACTTTTTGAAATATGTTTTTATTGATTTCAGAAAGGGAATGAGAGAGATAGAAACATCAATGATGAGAATCATTTATTGGCTGCCTCCTGCACACTCCACAGTGGAGATAGAGCCCACAACCTGGACATGTGCCCTGATCAGGAATGGAACCTTGACCTCCTGGTTCATAGGTCGATGCTCAACCCCTGAGCCATGCTGGTCAGGCTGTATATTCTTTAGAAATAGAATACTAAGGAAATGTTCAAAATGTTTAGTATTTTTAGTTTCAGGAAAGAAAATAGCTTAAACTGAAAATACACTCCTACACACTCCTAATATTATAGATTAAATAGAACAAGTTTAATAGTCTTAAATAATCTGGTACCTTTTAAAATTAAATAATCTGGTAATTTTTTTTAAAAAATTATAACTGCCAGACTCAATGAATAGTTAATAAAGGATTAAAATAAGTGTTTACCACTTTAAGAAGTTTCTAGAACTAGTTCTAATTTTAAAATTCCCAAAGAAGGAGAAATGAGACGGCACTTGGCAAACCCCAGTCTCTACCATGGATCTCTCCTACTTTCCTCAAACCAGCACTCACAGGGAATATTTGTTCTTATAGAACATTTAACTGCAAAGTATAACTACTTTTCATTGAGGAACATTTGCTTTGACCTCATATAATATGATTTTCTCACTCAACCATTACAAATATCTAGTTTCTACTTTCTCCAGTTATTTAAATTCAAATAGAAATTAGAATAGAAAAATAAATCAAGTGTTTACATTTTAATATTCAGATACCTTAAAGTCACAAGAAGTAGTACTTCTGAATGTTGATAATTTTCTAAGTAAAAGATAAAAACAACTTTGAAAAATAGGCTTAGAAGTTTTCACTGTGATTACAGAGACTGCTGGAAATCAGCCCTTTATAAGATACGAATTTTGAATTATATCATGGAAACCTGCCTTAAAAAGACAACTAAGAAAAGGGTTTATTCAAATACAGGACTTTAAATGCAAAAGTTGGCTTGTGGTAGGCCACTGGCACTGACTGGCTGGATTCCTCCAGACAATTAAAATGCTCCCTGATCCCTCAAAGTAAGCAACTGAGAGATAGCTGCCCAGTTGCTTTTTTTTTTTTAAATAACCTAGCATGAAAAAAGGGTATAGCTCCTACTTTTCTATGTATAAAGATGGAATTTTAAAAATATTTTATTGATTTTTTACAGAGAGAAAGGGAGAGGGATAGAGAGTTAGAAACATCGATGAGAGAGAGTCATTGACCAGCTGCCTCCTGCACACACCCCACTGGAGATGTGCCCACAACCCAGGTACATGCCCTTGACCGGAATCAAACCTGGGACCCTTTAGTCCGCAAGCCGACGCTCTATCCATGGAGCCAAACCGGTTTCAGCTAAAGATGGAATTTTGGAGCTGAATGCAAACAAGAATCTATTAATTATAATAAATACTAATCTCTTTGGCATTAATACATTTAAAAAAATTTTAAGCAATCCACTTATGACTCAGTATCTTAAAAGAAAATGATACTTAAAAAAAAATCCCATTTTCCAAACTAGAAACATGCAACTAATTTAATTAGACAAGAAATATGCTTCTGTATATATAACTATATCTGAAGGAGGCCAGCAGAACTTGAAAATCCATGATATAAAAAAAACATTTTATGCTAAGTGAAACAAGCCAGTCAGAAAAAGACAAATACCATATGATTTCACTTATATGTGGAACCTAATGGATAAAATAAACTGACAAACAAAATAGAAACAGACATATGGATATGTGAACAGACTAACAGCTGTCAGAGGGAGTGGGGAGCGGGGAACTGGATGAAAGAAGGTGAAGGCATTAACCAAAAAACATATATGCATAATCAGAATGTGCTGACAGAGGGACATGGGGGGAGAGGGCTGGATGGAGGTGGGAAAAGGAGGTAGTAATAGTGTAAATAAGTTTAAAAAAAAAAGCACATTGCTTTTAATTAGTCAAATCACCAACTAATTTGTGCAATGATAATCAAGTTTAACCATAACATGTGAATAAAGTATTGACTCAGTTTTCTGAATAACTTTTTGAAATGTTAAGATAGTTTTCTCATTATTTCCCAACCTTCTCCAATTAGAGGTGCCCCTTTCATGGAAAAAATAAATTGTAATTCCCTCATAGTAGCAGTTATACTGTAGATAGGACTATATGAAAATTCCAATGATATGCCAAAACCGGTTTGGCTCAAAGGATAGAGTGTTGTCTGCGGACTGAAAGGTCTCAGATTCAATTCCGGTCAAGGGCATGTACATTGGTTGTGGGCACATCCCCAGTAGGGGGTGTGCAGGAGGCAGCTGATTGATATTTCTCTCTCATCAATGTTTCTAACTCTCTACCCCTCTATCTTCCTCTATGTAAAAAATCAATAAAATATATATATTTTTAAAAAGAATTTAGAATCTTTAAAAAAAAAAAGTTCCAATCATAAAGAATGGTTTAAATAAACTTGCATGTTATTAATCTAAGTACCAACAATGCATTTTAAAAAGAGCTACAACTGTTAACGTAGACATTTGATTTGAGCACAAGACCATACTTGGTAAATATGAACTGCTGGACCCCTTGTAAAAGTTTCTCCTCTCCTACTTCCTATACCCTCTGGCCATGGGCTGTCAGGTTTGGAAGCACACTGGCCTATCTGCAAAAAGAGCAATGAATTACTTAAAGGCAAAGCCACAGGAGACAGTGCCTTCCACACAAGAGGCAATCAGGGGAACAGTGAATAAACTTGTCCATTGAAAAGGGACAATCAAATATATTATTTCGATCCTAAAGAATTCTCAAGAAAAAGAAATCATTAAGAAAGGAGGAATGCTGGTCCAACTAGAAATGGATATAGAAGTGGAAGTAGTAATAGAAAGCATGTGTGTTCCAGAGATGATTACCCTGCCTGGAAACCGGCTCAGATACTTTGAATATTCCACCTGATGTGAAGCGGGGTGTTTAAACATATCATGAAACATTGGACTGCGACAGATTTTGTGATAACCTTCCTTGAGTTTTTGCAACCTATTTCAGAAAAGATATAACTTGGATATAAAAATCAGTGATGACAAAACTACTTGATTATTGTAAACCTTAAAGCTATTGTTTCTAAGTTCAAAGACAAACATTACTGTATGAATTTTTTTTTAAAGGAAACAGACGAGACCCTGGAGTCAAAAAGAAAAGACAAACAAAATAAAGCAAAAATTTTGGACATTTCTGGGATTAATAGCTTTTTGTGATCTTAGATGCCTGCTATTTTGTGAGCCAAACCCAAGAATTAAACTGTCACATGGTTAGTGCCAAGATGCTCATTTTCAAACACTATTAAAATTGTAGCTTTTGCCCAGTGGGATAAGTTTAAGTGCTCTAACACAGCCATTCCACTTCTTTATGAGCCTCGGCCACAGCAGAAAATTGGTTTTGCTCCTGTAATGTTAATAGCCAGCATCATTGCACCCCAAACTTGTTGCTTTTCAAGTGGACACATTAAGCGCTCAGGCACACGAGTTCAGGTAGCATGAAACAAAACAAAACACAGAAAACTATAATCCCTTAAACACGAAGATTCTTCTTGTTGTTTAAATAGAGTTTCCTGCCAGGGTAGATATTCCCTTAATAAGAAACTGACACATAAAATGTCATTAATGCCACTGCAAAGGATCTCCTGGGCCACACTTGCAATTTATGGATGCAAATGCTTGGGCTCCAGCTTGGAGAGAGAAGTAGTTTTCCCAACTATTGGTCCGTGCCCAGAGCCTGCCAGCAGGAGAGAGTGGGCTGTGTCATTACTTGTCAAGCCCTTCTGTGGCAAGGTGCCTGTCACCTTCAAAGGTGCGCTCCACCTCTTCATTTTCCCATCATGGCACACTGGACTGCACCGTGTTATCAGCGGAAGCCAAAGCCTTTTCCTGTGGCTGGGAATAATGAGATGCACAAAGGCATGGCGGGGAGAAAGGTGGCAAAGAGGCCCGGCTGGTGGGAGAAAATTAAGAAATGCTTTCAACTATTGCAAAAGCCTGAGGTGAAACCTGCTCGCCTTGTTTCTCCCCACCCTCGGACATTTTTGAGCGTGCATCTAAAGCAAAAGACAAGTTGGGAAACTTGACTTTCTTTACTTTTTTGGAAAAGCAGTGCATGGGTGTTACCTACTTATCTTATAACTAGGAGCGGAGGCAGGGTAAGATTCCCGGGTGGGGGGAGGGGTGGGCACTGGGATTGCTCTGTGAGATCTAAGGCTGTGTGTGTGTGTATGTGTGTGGGGGGTGGGGGTTCCCTTGCCCCTTCTGGGGGCCCCTGCAGCCATTCTGTGGAAAACTGCATACCAGAAAGATATTCAGCAGTGTTGCTCACCCTTCTGTTCCCCACTGTCCGAATCCTCAAGGCTAACCAAACACTTCCTAAGCACCTTATGGGAGGTGCAAATCTTTTATGTTGTTAGGACTCAGCCATCAGCAAAGCAAATATCACAAGAATGTCAACATATTGAGTTCTGCATCAACCAAACCCTGGGTACTGGTCTATTTAAATGAATAGATGGTTTGACAAATCATCAAAAATAAAGCACCTTGGAAATGAAGAACAGGGCAGAGTTCAGACAGGGACTGGAGAGAGGAATGGGGACACCGGAGGTGAGGAGAAGGGAGCTACAAGGAAAGCTGGGAGCATTGCAGAAAATTCTCCTTCCAGCTTGACTTGTTGAGAACTATACAGCTTCCAAAAGAGGATAATCTGAACTTTAATACCTTCTCCACCAGGTTCCCTACCCTCTCAATGACTTTGTTTTCTCAAAGGAAGACTTAGAATACAAATACCTATTTTATAGAACGTTGGCGAGAATTCAAGCAAACAGCAGAGCGTCGGGCAAATTATAGACACTGAGCATGTGTTAGCTTGTTTTTCCCATCTCCTTGTCTTGCCCTCCATGGTTTCAAAGTTGGCTTTTCGATTATCCATCAGATCTATAGATTTCACTCTGCTGCTGTCAGATAAGCTTTACAGAATCCCCCAATAAAAATTTGTTTTCTGCTTCTTCATGCGAAGGGAAGAATGCACCCAGGAAAAGTTCCCAAATAAGATAAGCTTCCCCTTGGAATCTCTCCCACACTGTGGCACTCAGGGGCCCTGTCTGCCTTATCCCCACCAGCAGTGCTGTGAGGCACGAACAAGAATAGCCTGGTCAAGGTTATTGCTGACTGAGTTGACAGATGTGACTCCCACACACCTATGGGTAGAATCAATTTGAAATTTTCAAGGGTCACTTGGTTATCTGAATACCTCACACTGGAGGCCGCTGTTTTCAGTGACCTCTTCCCACCACTCCTCCCACAGAGACACTGCTGATGTGAGTGAACCGAGCCAAATGTGTTTGGAAAAAGGCCCCGTTTGCTGGCTGATTGCCCTGTTTAGCAATGGCGCCGGTGAGTCCCGTTAAAGGTCAAAATGACTACATGGTGATTCAAAGGAACTAACATCTTCCCCATCTGGCTGAATTTACAGAGGAGAAAGTTACAATTTCAAGTGATGACTGGTTCTATTTGTTTTCTCTCACTTCCTTACCCAGTCTCGTAGACAAGTGTTCAAGGCCTCAATCTCTCCCAAGTGCCTTTGAATGGGTTCCTTCTGTGGCTCATATTTCTTCCTGGCTTATGACGAACCTGGGTAACTTCAGTTATTGCAAAAATGACCCCCTTAACACAGCCAGATTGGAATAGTGAGGTGGTCTGCAAACTCATAAGTCAATAGAGCCAAATATCAACAGTACAAAGATTGAAATTTCTTTTGAGAGCCAAATTTTTTTTAACTTAAACTTCTAATGCCACTTCATCAAAATAGACCCACCCAGGCCATGGTATTTTGTGAAAGAGCCACACTCAAGGGGCCAAAAACCACATTTGGCTTGTGAGCCTCAGTTTGCCAACCACGGGAATAGCAAATTGCATATATAATATATAAACCATGGGGATTACCAACCCCAGACTCTTTTGCAGGTGGGTGATTCAGATGCATCAGAAGTCATCTTGTTTTAATAAGCACCAGGAACTAGAAAGGAACCTAAATAATCTGTTCAGGCTTCTTCAGAAAGTGGGCTCCCCACTCCTTCCCCCAATGCTTTGACTAATATCTTGAAATGATGTGCAGACCAAAAATGCATTTTCAAGAGGGTGTTACTGGCACAGTTGCAGAAATGATGGAAAGCCCAGCGGGCCAAGAAGAGTACTTGAAACACAGACCCATGACATTTACAAATGATCCCTTATCTCATCCCGTCCTCCTCCTTCAGCCGCCTTCTAAGGAGCCTGCCCCCGGTTACCTGAGACAGAAAGAAAGTCATCCACCGAGGTGATGTCATCCACGGCCTCCGTCAGCACTCGGACCTGCTTCTCCCACTGGTCTTTGAAGACGTCCATGTTGTCCTGAGCAACTTTGCTCTGCGGCCGGGCAGCCAGTGTGAGAGCAGCATTGATGACCTATTTGTCAGAAACAATCCAGGGACATATGGAAAACCCTGTTCAAATTACCATGTTGTCACTCTGGACCGTGTAGCTTCTTCAGATAAATGGGTTCTCAATGTCCAGAAGGACAATCAAAAACATGAATGATGAGGTAGGTTATCATTAGCTTTTGTTTGCTCTGCTTTGCCTCTCTTTGAAGATACAGTTAATTAGCATCGGGTTTCAGAAAGTGTTCACTGGACAAGTCCTCTTTACTTATCACAGATGTGGCAGCAACATAACTCTTATCCTACATGCAAAAGCTTATAATTTAGTTGTTGAGACAAGGCAAATAGATAAGGAGGGCTTAAAGAACAGCCCCAAACAAAGAAAACAAAGTCAATATGAGTGGGAAAGGCAGTAAGTGCCACAGTGATTCTGAAGAGTCAGTAATAGATATTGTGTTGTGGTTGATGTTTATTATAAAACTAGGATTTGAAACAGCTCGTGGATGTTGTTAGCATGTTCCAGTGCCAGGAAAGAGGACAAGGGAAGGAGTGACATGAGGGCTAGAATGTGAAAGGTCCTAAAATTAGGTCACCAATGGGCTTTTTAAATACATATTTTATTTTAGAGACAGAGGAAAGAAAAGAGACATTGATTGGCTACCTTCTGCATGCCCGGTAACTGGGGATTGAGCCGGAAACCTAAGCATGTGCCCTGACCAGGAATGGAGCCCATGACCTTTAAGTGCATGGAATGACCCTTACCTAAGTGAGTCACACTGGCCAGGGCACTTGATAGGCTTTTAAAGTGGATTGAGGCTTACCTGGGGACACAGGCTGTCAATCTGGGTAGCTGCCATTCGCACCAATTTCACCCCTTCCTCATTGTTGGAGATAGAACAGGCCAAATTGGCAACCTGTATTGAAGAAAATTTGAGGGAAAATTATACTGAGAAAGAGGAAAAGGGTCCTGTAGCATTACCTTGCAACTTCCCTGGAGAGGGGCACATCCTTGAGAAATCCTTCACAAAAAACTTAAGAGCACCTTTCAGTATTAAGCCAAATGCTACTGGTTTTAATAGTAAGCTAGGCATTTCTTCCAGAATAGGTGAAACAATAATTTGAAGCCAGCGTGAGGGCGGCATGGATGACTTATTTATTAGAAACAGTCCTGAGTCATATTGAAAACCCTGTTCAAAATACCATGTTGCAACTCTGGACCGTGTAGCTTCTTCAGGTAAATAAATGGGTTCTCAGGGTCCCAGAGGACAATCAAAAACATGAATAATGAGGTCGATAATCATTAGCTTTTGTTTGCTTTGCTTTGCCTCTCAAAAACATTTTCTTCAAAAACATGGTATTTTGCACAGGGTTTCCAATATGTTCCTGGATTGTTTCTAACAAATAGGTCATCAATGCCACTCTCACACTGGCTTCAAATTATTGTTTCAGGATTCTCCTGCACACACACTACTGCATTTAACTGTATTGCTTCAAACTGCTTTCTGCTATGGGCTGCCCAGATCCACCCACACTGTCACGTGAACCCCCTTCAGACTCGTCACTAAGTGCAAAAAGTGTGATTTTGGCCAAATCAGCATTAAATTTTGATCAGTGAGAGAGATGCTGCAGGCAATGCTTTGGATTTAAGAGAGACTCATGTTATGCTGAAAACCAGAGCCTTCTACCCAAAGGAACTCAGAGCTGCCTATCAGTCTGTCAGGAAGACGCTAGTTCATGGTAGTCAACTCAAATGCTTTTGGGGGCCACAAAGGCCTGAGAAACAGATACAAGAAACTGGTATAATCCCTAGGCAACAGTGGAGCATGGCACAAATGAGAACATGTAGGTCTAGTATAAAAGCATGCAAGTTTCATATTTTTAACACTCGATACCATCCAAAACCAGCTGAAATGAATTCAAGTTTCCAGGTCAAGCATTTCAATTTGTCTTATGCTTTCTCTTCAAGGAGTGAGAATTGGTAATACAAGGTCAAATTGATTGGCCAAAGGGCAACAGCACACAAACCACCATCAAAACACTGATCAGTCCCATCAGGCTTGTGTCAAGAGGACAGGAGGATGGGGATTAGAAAGGGCAAAGGAGAAGAGAAGGGCCATCAGGCCCAGGAAGAGGAGGGCAAATAGAAAAGTGATTAGCAGAGAGACAATCCCCAGCAGCCTCCTGGCCACCTGCCCTGATGGATCTGGCTCATTTCTGCTCTAAAATCAGGCTGCTTTCCTACCACATCTTAATACCCTGGGAGGTCACGCTGCACTACACATGTGTATAGTTCCTAGTGTGACAGGGACCTCAGACAGCGGGAGAAGTGGGAAGAGCAGAGAACTAGAGATGACTCTAAGGACTACTCCTGATCAGCAAAAGGGGATGGGTAGATGGTAATACTAGAAATACCTTTGAATACCAATATAGTGAATCATTAGTCCAGATAATCCAGTTTTGAAGCTTTTGGGGACATGTTACATCTATTACAGTAAGAATATATACTATGAGAAACCACAGACTGAATTTCAAACATTATGATGTACTTTCTTATATTTAATAGTTTACCTTTGATTCTTCAGATAGTTTTCACTATTTAACTTCGTCTTCAGAATGAGTCCATGAGAAAGATAAATATACCTTACTATATCCATTCACAGGATACTAAAGTCCCAGGGGTATGAGGCTCATGGAGGCAGAGTTCAATCTAATAACAGAAGTTCTCAGTTTCTTTTTTGTTATATCATATTGTCTCCATTCTGCATTTTATTAATCTTTATCATATTTGTATTCAAGTGTGTTTTATATTCCAAATTGATTCTGGATTTACAGATCTTAGCAAGTAGGCAGGTGCACAAAGGTGGAGTCCAAAATAGCAAGGTTAGAATGTGTGTGAGTGTATTTATACACATATATGCCCATTGCCCCTAGTCTTTTTTCTGAGCTGTTTGAGAGCATACTCTACACATGACTGGATGCTCAGATACTCCCCTGTGTATTTCCCAAAAGCAGACACTCCTACATTAACAATTCTCCACCCAATCACGTGAGGAAATCTCCGTTCAAATGGTATTAAATCCATAGACCCCATTTGAATTCTGACAATGGTGTCAACAATGTTTCCCACTCCCCACCCCCAGGATCTCACCCACCTAGGATGGGTCTTCTTGTCATTCCTGTCCCTGACAGTTTTGAAGTTTTAATTAAAAATCATTGACTTTTGGCCTAAAAAATAAAAAATAAATAAAAATATTGGAAGACCTGCTGGTGCTCTGAGTTAGGAGCCAGTGGTTCCAGATTATGAGAGGGATGTCTGACTTTCCTCAACCATCAGGATGTCCTGATTCCTGTGGGATCGGGCCTAAACCGGCAGTCAGACACCCCTTGAGGAGTCCCAGATTGGAGAGGGTGCAGGCCAGGCTGAGAGACCTTCCTCCCCATGCACACATTTCATGCACCAGATCACTAATATGAAATAAAACCACATAAATGCATTCATGAAAATCCTGATGATAATAAACTGGTAAGATAAAGCCAGATCTTTTTTGATTCCTAAATAAAGTATAATACACCCATAATATACAATTAAATAAATTTTAAAAATACATAATAAAAGTACATTGTAAAACAAATAAATTTAAGTATTAAATATTTGATGATATTAAGGAGTTATTTTTTTTCTTTAGAAAAGACAATTTCATGCAATCTAAGTTTTTATTTTCCTGAAGAATTCAATCTGTAAAGACAGGCTTTTTGAGTTCTCATATTACTTTTATTTAAATATATCATTTTTAAAGATGGATAAAAAGGAACTGATATTTTAAAGTATGCTAACAATATGAGTTATTTTTTAAGTGTCATGGCTTTTAGAGATAAATATGGAGATGCTTATGGATGAAATCATGTTTGTGAATTTCTTTACATTATCTAGGGCAAGGGAAAATGGTATAAGTATAGAAAAAAAACAAGATTGACCATTAGTTCATAATTATTGAAGATGGATAATAATATATGATGGTTCATTATGCATGCTCTACTTTCACTCAAAATTTTCCAAAATATTTTTGTTTAAAAAACAACAACAACATAGTAAGCATGATCTATTACATCCCCAGCTCTGGTGAAACACTTTTTTTGCACTTGTATGACTCCCAGAGGCAGAGAATAAGTTAAGAACTCTGAGCATGAGTGGAGTTATGTTTGTAGACAACAGAACAGTACCAGCCTAAGCATGTGAGAGGAACCTCTAACTGGAATACTCTAACAGGAGACTGATACACCATCATTCCAGACCTCAGCCTCCTGCCCATGCTGGCTGCAGGTCCCTAGAAAGAAACTACTATACCTAGGAGCCTTAAGGCTGAGAAAAGCTGGCTGTGAGGATATGCCAATCAGTGACTTGTACATGGTGCTAATTAATTTTTCCTTGTGTATCTTTTGAAATGTTTCTTCATCCTTTGTTCAAATAAATTATATTATGACTTAGATCTAATGTGGGAACATCACTGCCCAACATACGTCTTAGTAAGGGCAATAGTACCAGCAACACTTAGCAAAAAAAGATAATAAAGAGTTGGCAACTCCAGATAGTTCTCCAATTTTTATTCTCTTTAATTTACTGACTAATAAATGCTAAAGTCTGGCAGCCTCCATTCTGCAATATATTCCTGCTCTAAGTCCACAAAAATCAGAATTCCACTTCCCTTTATTGTACTCTGAAACATTCTGAAAATATTTCCAATATGATGCTAAGGGTTTCACTATCTCCATAGGCAGGCTTGTATATTTTAAATTGGTCATGGACTCAATCCAAATTCCTACCTTTCTTATTCTCCTTTGGCTTCCCATTCTGCTTCTCACTAGATCATAGGCTTTGTAGTAACTCTGAATATGGTTTTATATATTGTGATTTCTAGAATTCTGGCAGCAAATTCACATTTCAGCCTTCAGGCAACTCCCAAACAATATTGCAGCTTGAGTTGTCACCTAACATTTCAACACCGGCACACAATGTTTTTAATAGCTGATTTAAATGACCAAATATTTAACTATTGCTCTTATAATATCAGGAACTCTGATAAAAATGTCCTATTTTCCAAATCACAATATTCTCTCTTTAAAAACAAAATGATTTAGCCAAAACCGGTTTGGCTCAGTGGTAGAGTGTCGGTCTGAGGACTGAAAGGTCCCCGGTTCGATTCCGGTCAAGGGCATGTACATTGGTTGCGGGCACATCCCCAGTAGGGTGTGTGCAAGAGGCAGCTGGTCGATGTTTCTCTCTCATCGACGTTTCTAGCTATTTCTCTTCCTTCCTCTCTGTAAAAAAATCAATAAAATATATATTTCTAAAAATGATTTAGCATGTTAATTTTCCTAATTCAAGGAGAAGAGGAAGGGAATAGACTAGAATAATTAGACATTTAAAAGATTAATGTCAATAACAATGTAGACAATAGACCATTAGTATATTGTGTTACTAGATTTACCCTCTAAAGATATTGAGCAGCATGATACAATTTTTATTTATTTTTTTAATCCTTACCAGAGGCCATACTCATTGTTTTTTTTAGAGAGAGGGGAACAGAGAGAGAAGGAGAAAAACACTGATGTGACAGAAAAGCATTGAGCAGCTGCCTCTGGCACACACCCCAACTGGGGATTGAACCTAAAACCTATGTATCGATATGTGCGCTGATTGGGAATTCAACCCTTGACCTTTCAGTGTAGAAGATGACTACACTCCAACCAACTCAGCCACACAGGACTAGTATGAATAAATGTAATAGAATTTTTTGAAACCTGCTTGAGTCAACCAAGCAAGTAGCATTTATGGGTTGGCTCAGACCTCTGCTTCCTCCACTCTTGAATTGTTTACAAGTTAGCTAGTCAATAAGTATCATTTGAGCTTCCTAGA